TTGAGAGAGAAGAAAATTGAGGCTTCCAACTTGTTGTTGTCAAAAATGTATGTGACCGAGTGACAGCCTAGTCATCTAAATTCCATACAGCAGTTATTTTGCTTTGTGCCCTCTGTTTGCAAAAGCTTGAATGCTTAAGTTAAAGTATGTGAAAACAAGTTATGTACATAGGCTGAAAAAGATACCTGTCAAAGGCTATTGGCAAGGCATTTGGATCGTCATGCAAACTCCAGTTCTTCAGCTGCAGTGTTTGCTGAGCACTTGTGAAGGAGCATCGACCATTTCATGTGCCTGTACTGCAGTGGTATGGTGGCATTGTAAGGCGAGGGATTAAAATACATAAAAAGTTGAGTGCCTGGGACATCTGAGGCTAAAGCAGACCCACTAAACATACTGGATAATTAGCTTCACTGTAGTCAGAGGCAAAATACCCAGCATTCAAACAAGAAATGCTGGCCCCTTTTCTGTGTACCAACAAAAAATGAAACAAAATTAACTGGAGCACAATCTCAGATAGGCTTGGAGTCCTAAATGAAAGAAAGAAAAAGGACACAAATTCAGTAACTGAATCCAAAGCCTCCAGTAAGTCTCAGACTCAGCATGGGAGGATCCAGGGAGAGTGGAGCCCAAACCTCTTTTTGCAAATAAGAGGAGTGCCTTACTGAAGGAAAAGAGCGCTAACATGGCTGATTTTCGTGTGCTAAAACATGTCTTTGAACTGAAGTTCTAGTTGACTTCAGTGGAGTTTTGCCAAAATAGATCTGTATTAGGCACTGAATGGGATTTCAGGACTCCAGGTTCGTCGATATACTTTATTTATCAGCCCTTGTGAAATTGTGGTAATCACTTATCTTCTCATTAGGAAGTGACTCTGTAATGATACTCTGTGCTTCTTATTTTATATTGTGCAGAGTTGGTAAAAAGCCTTCACACCCCAACTTTTAGTGGATGGTTGCACTGGTTAGTGCTGGCTTGAAAATAAATAGCAGCAGCTTGGGACTCACACTACTTTTCTTTTTATTTGTTTCTTTGTTTGTTTGGGTTTTTTGCGTTGTTCATGTTGGCTGTTGTTTCATTATAACAGCCTGGATAGTATGTGGGGTACTTTAACTGAGAAAAAATCGGTCATCCATACATTTTCTTATTAGCGTTCTTAAGGCATGTTGGTCAAATCATACTAACTATAATGACTGAGCAATGATTAATGAACCCTTTGGAGAACGTAGATGAGTTCAGCTTCACATTCTGATGAGCTACCAACATTTTCTGTGAGCTTCAATATCTGGGAGATTTGCTAGGCCCTATTAAAACAACTTGGTTTCCTGCTAGCAGACTGTATGCCTTAAAGAAATTATTGCCAACCAGATACTCTGGCCACAGGATCTTAGAATGTGTTCACTTCTTAAGCCTCATATTAAAGGATGCTGGGGACCTGCAGCCCTAGTTCTCATTGCTGAGAGCTATTTCCCTTTGGGACTTCTGAAAGCTGGCACAATGTGTGCCAGTGAGGATCCAAAAAGGACTGTGTGACATTCGGTAATAAGCAGCCTGGGGACTCAACCAGTCTTCCTATTCTGCATTTCTGGAGTGTGTAATATTATAGGGGTCTGGATCTGAGTGTCTCACGAGCTATGCAATTCACTAGATATTAATAGTAGTCATAACTAAGGAATATAGTTTGGCTGCTTCTGGTTTCATCAGAGCGAAATTTCAAATCTTGCAGAGCTGAATGTGGAAATCCAGAGTCTCTAGACCTCACCCTTCATTATTTGAGCAGCAGGCCATGCATTGCAGTAGTTACTCAGTTCTATACACTGAGTTCCTCATGAAGTAAAATAAAAACTATGAGATGGGAAAAAGCTACTTCATGCAATTTCTGTTGTTTTGTTTGCTCAAATGGCATTTACAACTCTGCAGTGTACAGTTGGAAATGAGGTCTCCTACTGCCAGGTCCTATACAAGCATGCTGGAAGGCACCATCTTTTCCACACAATTCTCTTTAAATGATATTGCCTGTAAAATTCGTATTTGGGCACTGAGATTATCAGCAGAGCTGAAGGAGAAGTTAGGAAATGCCACATTAACCAAGCGCCATCCATTCAGAGATGACTCAAAGTCACAAGATTTATTTAAAAGATGTTATAACTTAGAGTTCTTCTCTATTTGCCATCTTGCCCGGGGATTCAGATTTTATAGCTTTAGATCTTTAACCATGCTGATAAAAGACTACTTTTATGGAGGGAGTTGAAGGTCATGGGCAGTCATGTGGTTGCATGAGTTAACCTTCCGACAGAAACACCAGATATTACAGTACTTAGCAAGGTGGAGTAGCATTATTGTCCTTTTAAATTGCTTTTCAGCACCAGTGAAAGACGGTATTTCTAGTAATTCTTCCTAAGAATATGAATGGACCTTCTTGTTGCTGTAATCTCAAGAAATGACAATGAGTCTTCCTTGCGGCCATAGGGAGATCACATTTTGCAGCATGTGGGGGTTAAAACATTTCTTAGAGCAGCATGCTTGTGCGTAAATGAATGCTTCCTTAACAGGAAGTCCACGTTTCTTTGCAAGGCCTCATGTGTGTCCAAGCAGGACTTGCAAAATACCAGCCATGAGGCACTCTCATGACACTGAAAAATTAAAAGTGAATGTTGCAGAAAACGTAAGGAAGTACGCTATGTAACCATCCTCTTTTTATTCTACTCTTGATGGCTCATCCTCTGTGAGCAGCAGTATTACAATTTTTCATGATAGTAAAAATGGAGTCTGAGCGAATTGATTCCAAAATCTCCTTGCTGGCCGCGGTGTAGCCTAAAAGCCACACATAGCTAAATGATAAAATGCAAAACCTCTGTCAGCATTTCCTCTCTGCTGACAGTCAGCACAAGTGGACCTCACAGCAGGTCTGCAACCTGTCATGCTAGTGGCCCCATACTCAAAGGCAACATAAGTCCTGAGTTCAAAGTCTTGAACTTATATGAACCTTACTTATATAGGGAAGGAGTATCATGAGTGCATCTGTGCTTTATTTCTATTCCCCGGTGTGCAGGTTAAACCAATCTAGTATCAGAAGATACTAGATTATTTAGATCAATATACCTTTATTTATTTCTTCTTATTGAAGTGAAAGTTGCATGCATACATCATTTATCAATTTTTTATCATTGCCCAAAAGATAAAAGTTACATTTATGCACCAGAAGGTGGCATATGATGAACTTACGTTGGCATGTACCTAAAAAAACAGTGAAGACAAATTCCAGATAGAACTCTGTGTAAGCATCTTTTGTTCAACTATGATCTTTTCTACAAATTTTAACTACTGTAGGCAACCCAAAGTTACACTGGCCTTATGGCTGGTCTTAACTTAAGATGCCCTTTGGTTTTGTGGTTTGGGTATGGGGTTCTGGGGTGGATTTTTTTGAAGGGTATGTTAAATAATCTAAATTGCTTTCATTCCTTATGGACAAAAGAAAAGCAATAGCAATTAAAAAAACAATATAGAGACTAAGAAGATAGAGAAGGCTACAGTTTTAAGGTTGGGAAAGCTTGAAATCAGGGTGACATAACATTCTTGAGGTCACTTCAGAGGCCCCAGCAAAGCAAGATTTCCTGGCCACTTTTCACAGTTTATTCACGCCTACATGTTTGTATAAGTCAGGGAAAAACATGCATGAAGGGGAGAAGAGAGAGAGAGGAGGCTGTTGTATTCTCGAGCCTATGTGACTATTCCACAATCAGTCTGTGGCTGTGCCTCCAAGTGTTCAGATACACAGGGCTCAATTCTCCCTTTTGGTAAGCAGAGTTTAGATTTAAGCCTGAGGATGTATGTGTTCCCAGACCTTGGACCATGCACTGGTACATAATGCCAGATCACATAAGCAACCTGAAGGGATGTAGGGACCTCACCAACTGTGAAGCCTATGTGGCATAATCTGTTCCCTGTAACAGTACGCAACAGGCAGCCACAATGGTGCTAATGGCAGCAGAAAGCAGCCTGTATCCCAGGTAAATTTTCCACAAGTGAAAAGTGAATTGTTTAAGTCTGCAAATTGTATTGACAGTTCCAGCCTAGTAAACATTTGGGGGATTTGTTTATTATTTTTATAGCCATTCAGGTAGCAAGCATTATTGGAGACATTCTGGAGTATCTTGCTGTTTTCTTCTCTCATTTCAGTTTTCTTCCTTTGCTGTATCTCTTTCTATCACTGTCTTTTCCCTTCAGCTCACCTCTGTTCACTCTGTTCTTTCTACTCTCCTGACAGATCAGTTTTCTCACCAGCATACACTAACCTGAGTATCCTGGGATGTACTGCATGTATATGGCCATAGCATAATACATGGCAATATGTGAAACCATATGGTGTGACGGAGAAACTGTGTAGAACCATGCATTTATTTTTGTTGCATGTAACCATGTATTTATTTTTGTTGCATGTGTGTTTATTTTAATAATGTGAGGTCTCACGTAGAAAATTATTTTAACCTAGACATGTAACACTCACCTAGTTGTCCATCTTCTAGCTCTGCCATTATTCAGTTTTTATTGATGCAGACAGACTGGAGAGTGCCTGGATCTGAAGCAAACCTCATTAAATATTTTCTCCAGCAGTCTGGTTGACAGTGCAGCAAGTTCATAACCCCAGTTAATGAAATCACACAAAAGCAGGCTTTCTCAACCAGTTAGGCTTTAAGTATAACAGTTTTTATGCCTTCTATCTCTGTTCATTCCACCTTGTCATAATCTTTTCCAGATTATTACCACATGCTGTCTAATTCAAAAAGTCTTCCAATGTTTTATCTACATTTTTCCAGGAAAAATCCCATGTCATGGCCCTTCTTAAACAATACAGTCCATTATCTGTTGTTAATTTAATTTCAGATTGTCAGTACAACCTAGTCAGAGTAAAGAGAGTGAGTGGGTAGACACTTGGCATGAGGATCATTGTTGAGATTCTGAAGGTTAATAAATGCATAAAGAATTAATCTTTTCCCATTCAGTCAATGAGGAAAGCTGCAGTGATCAAAATGGAAAGAATACCAGAAAAAACAACACTGGATTAAAACAATTGTGCAAAGACAGATCTGCTTCACAATCATTGGCTTTGGGAACAGCTAGTTGCCTAAAGGTAAGTTTTTCTTCTGTTTTGTGGTTTGTTTTTTTTTTTTTCAGGACCAATGCTGTGTTTGGTAATTTTTATAAGACTTGAAGTGTTATAGTTAGAGGAGATGTGTTTGATCCACTGATTCAGGAGCTGGGAATCTTCCTGACTTACTACATGTCTAAAGTAGCATATCTAATGTTATTATAAAGTATTTCATAATGGCAAAGTATCTTTGGAAGTATTGTGTGGCTAAAATGACTTATGGGTAGTTTTGTTCCACTGACTGGAAATGCTCCAAGTGGTATTACAGCACACTGCAGGAATAAAGCTAAAAACCAGCTAAGAAAGATATAGCTCTAGAGAATTTTCTTATGTGATATTTAAACATGTTTTTCAAACTTGCATGTGATAATTCTGTTTGAATGCCACAAGCGTTATTTTAAGCTGCCCTCTGCACATTGACTCAGAAAGGGGCATTTGTCCCCACAGTTTTACAAGAAAGCCTACAAAGCAGAGGAAAAGCAATCCTTATGAAATCAGTAGGACATTTTATTTGGTAAGAAAAACAAGAGCATGGTACAGTAATATAGTACTTGCATACTTGTGCATATATGGGCCTGTCTGATCTCAAGGTGACTATGGCTAGGTTAGTCAGAAGCATAGTACAGTGGGAATGGATTTGGGGAGCCAAACAGTGCTGAAGGCTGAGTGTCTACACTATCTGCTTTTTTAAGGTAGTTGATATGGACTGGCTCTTGTCAGGTCCCATGGGCTGACTGCCCCTTAGCAGCTGGAGTATCCAGGTTGAGCTCATCAAGAATGTCTTCTGATTTTGTTTTGTCCAAAAGAAATCCAATTCATGTGCTCTGGGGCTGTTCTGCACCATGAACCCAAGTGCTGAATGTGGGAGCTATTGTGATGCTGTCTGAAAAGCACCTTCCTGATTTTAACAGGAATGCTAATGTAGGCACCCCTCCTCAGCTGCCAGCTACACTAGATAAAATCATAATGCAATATTGATGTTTTCATTTAATTACAAGGCAGGTTTATCAAGTTCCTCACAGGAGCATTGGGTAAAATTCCTGTTTGTGATTACTGTCAAGGGCTTCATTGTTGACTGATTTCCCACTTTTCAGCCCAAGTGAAATAGTCTTTAAAGATGTATTGAAAACTTTGTACTTTGTACCTTTGTATCTTCTTTTGTTCCCTTTTGTAAAGCCTAACACTTAGTCCACTTGAGGACTGAGTGTTTCAGCGGCTTTCGAGAGACTTCTAGTGGTTTAGATCAAGCTCAGAGATTCTACACCATACAAAAAAAGCATTTTCAGAATTGTTTAGGGTTTTTTTCTCTTTTGTATCTAAGGGCTTTTTTGGAGGGCAGATCCTGGGATCAGGGGAGTCTCCTTCCAAGTGGCTGAAGAATTGGACAGAAATCAGGGACATGTGTGGTGAAAGGAGGACTGAAGAGGGAGGGAAGCCTTTTGTATGTGTGTTATTCTTTTCATAGGGAGGAAAAATAAAATATGATACTAAAGGATAAGATGCTTGAGAAGAAAAACCAAAGCATGGGAATGGACAAGCTCTAGTGCAGAACAGGAAGGAGGGAGCTTAGCAAGAAGATACGAAAGAGAACAAGACTACTGAAAGGGCATCTGTGTAGACAAGAGGTAGATTGCATCTCATTGGATGAGAAAATACAGAAATCACCAATTTGAACAAACTGGTACATCATGAATGTAGCTCGAAATTTGTGGAAATTAGACTTCTCTGTTGTTTTTATCTTCCACTGCTAAGAAATTTGTGGTATACCAGCTGAACCTTAACCAAGAGATCTGATTTAAAACCCAAAATGGCTATAATGAAGGGAGGAGAGGGAATAGTGGGTGTACATGTGTGGTTCCTTAAGTGTGTAGTTGACTGTTCCCCCTGGTTGTGTCTTGTGGTTTTATTACAGAGAGCTAAAGTATGATCCTGTAGAGGAGGTAGATCAAGAAGAGTTTAAGGCTTTTCCAGATAGCTTAACTCTTTCTTAAAGGTGGCCACTTACTGTGTAGAAAGCTTCAGAGCTTCCATTCCACGGGTGAAAGGAGAATGTTAATAACCAGACTACTAAGTTTCAGATTTAACAGCAGTTTTGCCTCTGTTAGTTCCTTTAAACTTTGGCCATTAAGTCATCTGCTGTGGATGTTACTGGGAGATCCAAGCTCAAACAGAAATACCTGGGTTGTGAAGCTGTGCTGGCCAGTGTACCAAAGCTACAACAGAGAAACAAACTCTCTCTCTTTCTTTTTTTTATTTTTTTCTTCTGAGTTCATTGCAGTTTTTTCTCTCTTGAGGTGTGTGTGGGTCACCTAATAAGAAGTACTCTAAAAGCTGCTGGTGTTATGAAGATGGTGTTTATAGACTGTCACTATGATAGCAGCAGCCAGCTGGGTCAAGTGTCACAGACCAGACCACTCTTGTCTCCTGAAGGTGTTTTCCTTTGTAGGAATCATTAGTGCAACTTTACACTCATTGAGTAACTCAAACAGTGAAAACTTGGACTGGTTTTGTAGCCACTTACATTAACAATGTCTTTCAGCTACGTCCTTCTTAGACTTTAGGGAGTGTGACAAATCCTTGGTAGGTCACCACAGATTGCTTTCTACAATTGTTTGGCAGCTCTTGAAAATCTGAGTCATGTCCTTTCCTGTTTCCAAGTTTCACTGGTAAATTTCCCCTTAGTACTTGACATCTCGCTACTCCAGCAGTTTCCATGCCTAATCATTGTTTATTTCTATCTTTTTATATTGTTAATTGCATTTTCTGTTCCTTTTCAGCAGGTGTAATTGTCAATCAAATGTCAAAGTGGAGATCTTTCATCCTTAATTTTTTTGCTTTACAAAAATAAGGGTTGCCTAAAGTTCGTAGTAAAGAATTTAAACGTGGGAGCAGAATTGTTTTAGACCACACCACAGACAAATACCAGGGTGGTCAAACCCTGCTTTTTGTTTGCCCAAACAGCTTGGCTGTCTCTCTGCTGCCTCTGAGGATTGTAGATACACTTCATCTTAAAGATGCTGGTAGAGTAACTAATCTGATGTCATCTCTACAGAATTCCAGTTTATGGTATTTGAGTTTAAGAAGTTATTTATTAGTCAAAGGTATAGGTTAGTTGTTGTTTTATTCTTTTCCCCTTCTGTTGTTTAGGGAAAGCTGGTTTTGCTCAGTCTAATCAGCTCAACATTGAATCTTCCACATTCTCAATAAAACTGATCCCTAAAAAAGTGAGAAAGTAGTGAGGTGAAACCAGTTGTGGCAGTGGTCATTCTAAATAAAGTTTTGCAAATCTCCACATGTGATTTTTTCACTGTAGTTTGAATATGTTTTCCCCCTTAAGTATCTTCTATTTTTCATGGCAAATACTTTTGGAAATGCATATTTTTTAAGTCAAATTTTAAATTAATAAGAGGCTTTTCCTCTTCAAACCAACCATTGCAGTATCTTCAGACTAGTATTTGCCTATCTGTCTTTCCAAAGACGCAATTTGATGCTTCCCAAATCAGAGACAGGAAGGGCGAGCAGTCAGTTCCTATTGCAGATGACTCTGAAAATGAACAATTCTGTTTTCATTCCAAATGACCAATGGAAGATAGTTGCTAAGCTCTCCATAGAACAGCAACCTGAAAAAGTTGGCTTGCTATGTTAAAATGTAGGCTTCCAATTTCAAAAGCCCCTGGGTTTGTCATAGAAGCTGGGGCTTTTTGCGTTCTCTTTCAGCCCATGTAGTGGGATGGCAGGAGAGGGAGGAGAGCATCTGAGATTCTTTGATTTCCAGACTTCTGGGGCAAGAAATCTGTAAATCCTGGACACTCCTTCCCTGGAGGGCTGCCAGAATCTGTAGGGCTTCTAATATTCCTGACTCTGAAAAAAAAAAAAAAAAAAAAAAAAAAAATCTGCTCAGGGCGCTGACTGTAGGCCAAAACACCACAGAAGCACTCCCCAAAATCTGTCTGCTGAACTTCTGAGGATTTCAATGAGTAAATCAGCAAGAGTTCAAGCAGGATCCTAAGGGAAAAGTGCCTCTTGACTTTGATTTAAAATGTATTCCTTGTAAGTTCCCTAACAACTTTAATAGCAGATGAGGAGAAGCAAGCAGTCTGCGTTAACAGTAGCTGAACATCCCAGGGAACATTGCCAGCAGTGACTGGCTGCAGTCAGATGCAGCTGATACAAGCCTCCTCACAGAATTTCTGCCTCTTGGTGTCTCCCAGTGACGTCACATCTGTACTGGCTTAAAACTAAACTGACCCCCTTCCTTAGTTTTACAGCTACAGCTTGTTCTGATCTTCTTATTCCTAAGCTCTGAAATGCTTTCAGAGTCATCTGACAGTTGTCCACAGGACACATTGATTCCAGCAATTGAAAACTGATCTGGATCATGATGTGTCTGAACTCAACTGCAGTATTGGCTCAAACTCTCCTTTTTCAGACACTTTGGACATAGATAGACATTAATGTCAAAAACCAGGTAATGTTTGTTGAAAAATTAACTAAACTGTGCACTGTCAAAAAAACACTCTTTTCAACAATTTTTAAGTCACCTTTTTCTTTCCCTTCATATAGCCTTGTCTTCTGCCTCTGTCCTGAAAAATCAAGATGTATATCATCATTTATGTGGCAGCAGTTTGGTGTCTTGGTCAAGACATGACTGAGGACAAGCCAATCAACTTTTTTTGTTTATAGAAAGCAAAAAGTTTCCACTTCTAATGTCATGATGTGCCACTCTGTTGCATTCATTTTGTAGAAGCTTCTTAACAGTGAAAGACATTTTCATAAATTTTAAGAGAGCACTCTAAAAATATCAGGCAAGCTCTATTAACAAGTGATAAGTTAGTATCAAGGTTTAAGTAATCACTCACTTTGCAGGCATTTTAGATGGAAGAAAATCTGCTCAGAAAGCAAGCTGTGCCACCTACCACACTTGCTGAAATACTGTCTTTTCACAAGAAGACACAGCAATAGATGAATTCCTATTGGGAGAATAGCCTGTTGGAGTAGAGAATTGGAAACACTGGAAAGAGTAAAGGTGAAGAAGCTCTGTCTTGAAAAGCTAAAGTCTTACGAGTCCTCTTCTTTCTTAAAATATATATTTAATTCTTGGTATGACATCTGCAAAGACCACCTCTGCTTCTGTCAAAAATTAAACTACTGCAACCGTTAGCATCCTGTGCTATTTGCCTCTTCTGGAAAGGTCACGGGATCCTTCTTTCCAGTAAAGTGGACTGTCTGACTTGCAGCATCAGTGATTCAGATTCTGCTCTCTGTCATTCTCTCTCTCTTGTTGTCTGCTGTAAATCACTGGTTGTGATTGCCTGTCATCAACAGTGGCACCACAGTACTGGAGTAATTGTCATGTTTGTTCCACATGGTCATGATACTTCAACAAGAGGAGTTACAAGAACATGCCCATAGGATGTGGACTCTACTGTTGATTTTGGATCAATCTTTGTGTCACCTAAAGGTAGATGTTTACTTTATAAAGCATTGTCTGGTTTATCAGTTCAGCTCTAAGTGTATGTTTAAGCAAAACTTACTGGCAACACTCCACCAAAATTGCTTGCTGTGGGGATACTTCCTGGCAGCTCCTACCAAGCACAGTAATGGGAAATCCTCAACAGAGCTATTTATTTAAGTAGAATTATTTTGAAATAACTATCACGTATGAACACTAGAGTTGATTTAAGTAGAGACTTCTGACCGATCCATATACTGTGTTATCCAAGTTACTCTAGCTCGTGGGACAATTGGATAAACTGGCAAAGTGAAGCTGTTTGTCACAGGCAATTTAATTCTGTAATTAGCTTTTCTTCTTCATATATGCTTGCAGGGCAAGAATCTGCTCTGGTTCAGTGACATTCACAAGAAAGTGAAAAGGTCTTTTGGAAAACTGAACTTCCCAATTACTAAAATAGAAAAGACACAAACCCAGAAACAAACCCACAAAGAGTCTTTAGGAGAAAAAAAAAAAAGAAGTTGGTAAAATAGGCAATGAGGTGGATTCTGTTCTTAGCTGTATTGATTTAAATAAAAGTTATTTCAGTGACATGAAATCTAGATGTGTATAAGAATAACTGAAGGGCAGCATATGGCTTTCATTGCCTCTGTTGCAGCGACAGCTGAGCTTTACTTGTGCTTGCTGGAGATAAGATACTTCCCCATGGTCGTACCAACTTCAACAACCAGCTCAAAAGCACAAATAATGATGCAAGCATCAGCTGTGCCAGGGAGAGAGTAACATAACTGAAAGCTATATAATTCTGGTCATATTTCTGTAAGAGAAGATGTGAGTTTGCAGCCTTTTCTTGGCTGGGCTACTCCAAACACTGTCTAGCTACAGAAAACTCAGTTATGTGTCTATTTGTAGGCATTCTGACTTAGCTCTTCCAGGCCTTTAAAGGATGAAAGAGAGAGGTGAGATGCCACAGGGCTTCAAATGATGCCAATTATGTGGGAGGAATCCTACCCTATGAGGCATAGCCATGCAATTTTGCATGCTGAGTTTCTTGTTCAAAAATGTCCATAAAACATTTCCTTCATGCTCCACTAATTTATGTTGTGCCAAGGGTCCTTTCCAGCGCTTTACAATGAACTTAAGGCTTGTAAGAAAAGGCCAAAGAGCTAAGGAATAATGTGCCACAGACAGAAGGGCAGAGAGCACAGCAAGAGTACCAACAAGTCCGAAGGTTTCTGTTATGCCAAGGAATTTGTTAAATTCACAGCCAGTTTGCATCCCTTTGTTCTCCTGCCAGCATTGTTTAGCTGCTCTCACATGACAAACTGTCCATTCTCGGTGTAACCCTTCTCTGCATCTTTGCTAGAACTGCTTTCTTCTCCAAAACTGTTTTCCTCTCAAGTGTGAGAGCACAAATCATATACTGTATTCTGGGGGAAGCGCCAGAGAGCGTTTTGTACACTTGCATTAGTGCTTCCCTGCCTCTACTAGAGAAATACTGTCTAAGGCATGTTCTCCTTTTCTGTGAATGGCTGAAGAGTTTTTGTTGTTTATTCAATCATCGTTTGCATGTCCTAGCTCATTTGATTTTTGATAAAACTGGCCTTAATTCTATGCATCTCTATCTCTACACAACAGCTACCTTTGTTGACTAGGATTATTTGCTATTTCTGACTTTTAAGAAACACTATATAGTAGAGTTTTTCCCACTTATTTAGGTCTAAAATACTTCCCAGTAAGAATTTTTTTCTTGATGAGAATATATACATAGGAATAGTTTTTATATCTTTGATTTAGATATATTCCAGTCTTTCTCTACATTCAAGTCTTTCCTCTCTTCAGTCCAGGTAAATTCACTAGTGAGTTTCCTTAATTTGACAGTTTGCCCTTTTGAAGCTGAAATGTTTTATTACCAACTTGCTTCTGTTTGTTATTCTGTCCATAGAAATGGAAACAGTTGATGAGCGCTCAGCCCAATGGAGTTTTTTATGACTATTTTTTTTTTTTAGTGTCTTCATTACTTACTAATTTGGGGTTGTCTCTTCTTGTCTCAGTGACTACTGAGAAGAAATCTGGCAGCTAGCTGGGTCCAAGTTTATTATTAGAAGCATGTTTCCCAAATAGGGTATCTGGGAACTTAAAGTTGACCATGGCACAATTCCCAGTGGTATTTCTATAATAACATTCAGTGACAGACTTCTTGCACCATTATATTTTAGCTGCAGACAACAAAGGCCAGGTTTCA